GAGCAAGACTCTTTTTCCCTTTATTTACTTCCTCCGATAGAAATGTGGATACAATGTTTAGAGCCACAGCTGCTATTTTAAGTCATTTAATGGCCTTAAATTAGAAGCTGAGACAAAATATAAATGTTAAAAAAATTATTTAAAACATTATAGAACGTAAGCGTATTCCAGGTAATGGTGAAGTATTGAATATATGAATCTAATGTTACTCCCTACTCAACTATGACAATTACAGTAGAAAGATTTTTTAAGTGCTTAAAACCTCAAGGACAAGGAGAATAATAAAGGAGAAAATTTCAACGAAAGTTTAGAAGCAGAAAAACACATGAACAAATTATAGTTCCCTAAGAACACTTGAAGAAGTTGAATCCCAAATGGGCAGTGGAGAAAGTTGAGAACCAACAAGTTACACCACAGAATCCTCAAAAGGCAGAAGAACCAGCTGTACAAAGTAAATTAATAACGAATAGTATTAGAGAGGACATTAAATAAGGTGGACTTATTAAGTGTAGTTTCAAACCCTTTAACATGGATTTGATCAAGATTAGTGAAATTTAGGAGAGATTTTTCAATGTGTTAATGATGTTACATCAGATATTAAAGAGTATTACACTTTTTGCATGTATAATACAGAAATTTTTAGTTGAAATGTAAGAAAACAATAATAATTCTTTGCAAAGAAGCAGAAACATGTTTGTTTAATGTCTCTTTTAACATCATAATAAATGCAAAAGCAAGATACAGTGGAATGGCAATGCATTAAAAAGGAGTCTTAAAATCTTACCGTTCAGTGTCCTTCACTAAGGAAGTGTTTCTTATCTACATTGTAACACATATTTCTTTAGCTTTATAAAATAGAAATTGGAGTGTGTTGAATTAGACCTCAGCCCTTAGAGTATACATTACACTGGCTTCCAAATTTATCATCATTTGACAGATACTAAAATAAAATTTTCCCAGTTTCAAAAATGTTCTTGGACTTCATTTTGCGATTTAAAAATAAAATTCATAGATTCATTTTATTCAGAAAAATGTTTTCTTTATATATAGAATCAGAAAGTTATTTGGTGAGAAGAAAATATTGTCAAGGCTTATTATATTATATTATATTCTTCTCAATTGCAAGAACAAGATCTTCTCTGTCTTGACTCTATTTGAACCAGAGTTCTAGTTTTTATGTGCTTCCTATGTTGGATTTCTGCATAATATTTTTTTTAAAGAAAGGGCTCTTATTTCAGGTAACAGTGAAGTATTGAATATATTCATCTAATTTTTCTCCCTACTCAACTATGAGAATTACAGTAGAAAGAATTTTTAAATACAGGAAACCTCAAGAACAATGAGAATAAGAAAGGAGAAAATTTCAACATTTTAGAAGCAGAAAACCACATGAAAAAATTATAGTTACCTAAGTAAACTTGAAAGAACAGAATCCCATTGGGCAGTGGAAAAAGCTGAGAATCAATCAGTTATACCACGGAATCCTCAAAAGCACAGGAACCTCTGTACAAAGAACATCAATAACTGGTAGTATAAGACGGGGCTTAAAATGAGGCAGATGTATTCAGTGTAGCTTAAAATAGCGGATCCTGTATTATATGCTTCTTCACTCCTAGGAACTTGCCATCTGCAAATCCAGCAAATCTCTAAAGGAGAATGCCAGATTCAATTGAAAGACTACGTCTTATACTTAAAATAGGTTGATTAAATGACCACAATCATTCTGAATGCAGAATGCAGAAATCCTAAACACTCTTAATTGATGTTTAGCAGAATACTGGCCGCTGGAGCCTTAATTTCTAGCCAGGAAAGTAAAAGACACTTCTCAGTAGAATCTAACAGGCCCAAAAGGATCTTTCCCAAAAGGAAAGATCCTAAGATAGGGACATTTTGAATGACTCCTTAGCAAATAGGTCACCTGGATTAATCTATGGTAATGCTAACATTAGGTAAGTATTCTTCCTGGTCCTGCTGCAGAGGGATATGGAACTTCGAAAACAGATTTTAGTTTTTCTTTCTTCATCATAACCGGGATGCTAAAATTAACAAACATCTGAAGAAAACTTCCAATATGAAAGACAGAGATCTAACTAAGCCAACAGAATAATGCAACTGAAAGGAAACATCTTCCAGGAAGAAGAAATAGCAAAAGATTACTACTAATGTCTTCAAAGATGTAAGTTATATCACAGCTGTAAAACAAGAACTCATAGAGTTCAAAACAGTTTGGCAGAAATGAAAAACTCAACACAGTAGTTGCAAGATAACAATGAAAAAAATGAGAATTAAGAGGGCAAAAATAAATTTAGACACAAAAGTTCAGGAATTCCAATGTCAAAGGAAGAGTTGTTTAGAGTGAACAGAGAAAGAAGGAGGAAAAACCCTCAAATAGTGCAGAAAGTTTTCCTAAAACTGAAAATTTAAAAATCAGCATGACCCCAGCACAATGAATGAAAGTAGATACATGGCTATGATTGGGGTTGTTCAGGATGCTAAAGGTAAAGAGAAGATTATGCAAACTGAAAAAAGAGTTAATATTTAAAAAATCACATACAAAGACTTATGGATCTGAGTAACTTCAGGTTTTCTTCAGTATACTAATAATTAAAAAAAGCAACAGTAGAGTGCCTTCAAATTTATCCAGGAAAATATTTTTTCAACTCAGAATTCTATACTTAGAAAACTATTAATTATTGATAAGGTATATTGAAAGCATTTTCAGACATGAACTATCTTATAAAAAGGGACTTCAGGACCCCCTTTTTTAGAAAACACCAAAAATAGAGAGTAAATGAAGGAAAGGGAGAAGATGTGTTAGAGACATAAAGGAGATTCACCATGGAGAGGAACAGGGGAATCACCAGAAGGTGAGAGTGGAAATAAATCTTGCATTAGTATGTGTGCTGCAGACATAAAGGCCTACTCACCAGTCCATATTGAAGTAGTGTGACTCAAATTATAGATACACTGAGGGCTGTTATAAATAAAGTCCTCACTGCCATTGTACTATCTTTTAAACCCAAAGACAAATTTTGCAGCTAAGCCTAGTCCATATTGTTATTCACACTTTGCTTGGTCACACACTGTTGAAGTTCTTCTTGCACCTTTCATACCCTGTTCTCTAAAACGACTGGGTGCTCTTTTTCTCTCTATGTAAGTATTCTGCTTAAATTTATAACTTAGAGTTATAAATAAGCCATAATAAGCCTATAATCTGAATATGTGGAACAGCCTACTTCCTCTGAACGAGTGCTTTGGGACCACATTACAGTTAGGTGCCATTATTCTGTTGCACACGTGTGTTGTATACATTCTTCTACATATTATATTTTTAACAAACGGGCATTTAAAAAGCATTGTGATGATAAAAATGCTTTGAAATCATTAGTGCTTTATAGATATACTCATTCTATAATAGCAATAAGGACATTATATTTTAAAAATGTAACTTAATTGCAAAATATTTAAAACATTGCAATCAATAAAATATTATCCCTTTCACATATTTGTAAAATAGTGTGTATCCTCTCAGGGTTCCAGAGTGGTTAGGGTTGTTCAGTTGTAAATATTTGAATATGTCTCTCTGGTATTCTTAGAGTGGTACAGATTATTTAGGTGTGTTAAATGAGAATAAAAATCTTTAGTGTTTTCATCCTGATTAGGGTTATTTAGTTGTGGTATATGTGCCTCCATTGATGACTGAGAGTCTCAGGTTATGTTGCTGATTAGAAAAAGTGTTCTCTTCCTCTCCTTCTTGCAACTTCAGTGTATTCTAGAGAATAAACTTACTGCAGTATACTGCCTTCCCAGTGAAGAGATGCTCCTTAAAAGCTAAATTTTACTTTGAACTTAATTATAATTTTGTTAGGATTAAGGTTAGTATCTCATATTGCATAAGCCCAGGAGTAGAAAAGTATCTGTTTGGCAATAATGTAGATACCTTTTAGAACATTTATAAAAAGTAATACATTATTTATATTTTCTATATTACTTGTAAAGTTGACTGCAGCAAGTTATTTACACTTTTCAAAGTTCGCTAATTTAATTGAATTAATTGTCAAATTTTTGCAAAAATCTAAATAACTATTTCCTGATTAATTAAAAATAAAGTTGTCATTTCCTGTCTATCATATAAGATTGGATAATATATAATAGGAAACTGATTTTCAAAGTGCTTTAAAGTCAAATGAGAATCTGATTGATAAAAAGCTTAATATTATCCAAAATCTAAACTTTAATGAAGTATGTTTTTTGAGGATATTTACCACCAAGCAAACCAATGCTGAGATTTTTAGCAGTGCCTTGTGCAACTAAAATTATATTTTGAGATCTATCACTGACATATGAATTTTAACTTAACCATGAGGCTATAAATTTAGAATGCACTTGGATATTTAATTTTAATCTAATTTAAATATCAGGCACTTTGATTATGCAAATTTTATGAGTGAAAAAACTACTTCACAGAGCTTTCTTTTTAATTTTTTTCTTTCTCTTAGTGGTTATATGTTATAATTTATCATTTTAAAAAGTTCCTACTGGTATGTGAATATCTATGCCACATCATTACTAAGTGTAATATTAGGCCTGTCTCTTACTCTGTGTTATGCTGAGTTACATTGAATTATCAATGTAGAAGGCATTATGAAATAGGTTATGAGTTGAACTTTAAATATCAGTGATCACTGTACAGTCTTATACAACCCAATGTACAAAGTCAATATCCACCCACAGAAAAGGTAGTATCATGCCTGTCACCTCTAGAACGACTGTTCATCTTATTTTAATGGCTCTGAACCTAAATATTACTTTTTATATCCCAGTCCAGCTTTTTCTAGAGCTGAGTAGGTCCTCGCCCAAGCTTGCTGCTTCTTCTCTTCAGGTAGCTGGGAAGTGGCCATCCTTGATGACCTAGAAATATTCAGGATGTGTGCTTCTTTTAATGTAAAGAGTGTATGGTGCATTCATTACACATACAAGAGAAAAATGAAAGACAAAGCTGAAAGTAAAATGAACATAATTTTAATGAATTTTTTTAATTTTGTGCATTGGATTCAAACAGCAAACTGTGTGCACTCAACTGTTATCACAATGTTGTCAAGAGGTCTGTGTCTTTTACCATTTTACACACACATTACAGTATGTTGTCAGCCTTGTGGAAACCAGGGGTGTGGCATGGTAAGCAGTGGTGGTAGTGCACCTAGCTTTTATATTATCTAACTTGAAAATATTTCTCTTCTATGATTCCTTTTTTCTTGATAAAAATAGTTTTCACCAAACGTTGGTGGTGCACACGCACTACCATTCATGCTTGACATCACACCCCTGACAGGAACACGTGTTCTTGTTTTGTTGATAAAAAGTATTACAAAAATTTCCATACAAAAACTATTTTCATAGAAATCTTGCATTTCCACAAATAAACCTGAACATTTTTTGAAAAAAAACTGTTCAAGAATTTTGTTCATTTAACATTGTGACTGTATTGATAAATGCAGTCCACTTCCATGTTCTCTCACAGATTTTTCTTTAAATGACCAGTCCCCTTTCTCGTATCACTGAGATCTGCCCATGCTCCATCAAGTTCATTTACAGCAGGAACAAGGGTTTGGATCTCTATATCTGAATGTTATAATGAAATTTTTAGTCTTCTACACAGCCAATACTCAGCCCTTTTTTACAACTTAAGACAAAGATGGTAAAAGATTATCCTTTAATTCAGAATCACTGAACCAATTTTTTTTTTTAATTTGGTTTATGGGGTTAGAGAAAGGGTGTTGGGGGAATAGGAAGGGATCTGATAGAGTTGCATGTTAATCTTCTGGCTTAGGGAACTTAAGAAAAGCATTATTGCCTTGATAATTGACATTTCTATCTCCATCAGTGACACAGACTGTCAAAAACAAAAAAGAAAAGAAAAATAGTTAATGAATATCGGCTTTATATTCCACCTGCCATGGGATTCAAATTTGTTTTTCATCACATTTTTTCACATCCTATAAACACATATTGTGTATTCAGACAACAATTATACTGACTAGTTGGTTGGGGGCTAGTAACATCATCATCTCTATGATCTGGGTGTTCAGAAGACTGTACTGTTTCCTGTAACACTACAGTTTTTGCTGATTCCAAATATTTATATTCTTAGTGACACTTTTATTAGTCGCCCTGTTGGGTGTTGGTATTCCATCTCCTGGCAAGAGTTGAGCTTCGAAAGGAACCTGTAATTTCTCACCGGACTGCATTTGAAACCAGCCACAAAATGCGCATGTAACATTCACTCAGAAGAAGGGAGGAACCCATGATTAACAGTGTAACCCCGTGTAACTTGGTTGATCCATGATGCTTGTAAATCAAGTCTGATCATTGCAACTGCTTAGATCACAGAGTCTCTAGTTCATAGACACAGCGGCATGAGGTAACTCATTTTATTTTGCACAGGTTGCATATTTCCACAGGAAACATTCTCGCTAAATTGTTTGGAAAAAGACGACAGTTTGTGCTTGGGTGTTTGGCCTCCCAGCTTTATGCCATGGTTTCTTTACCTGGCAACCTTCTGTCGTTAAATGTGTGCATGTTGATAACTTCTTCTGTTTTCACAATAACTGGGGCCTGTGGCTTATGTTTTAACCGACGCTGGCACTTCAAGGACATCCTCAGTTCTTCTACCATGGCACTACAGAAGGACCTCTACAGAAGAACACAGAAAAAGTAAATATTATAAAATACATAAACTGTAACTGTCCAAGATCAATCTTAAAAATCAATCTCAACAGACTTGTCACATACCATCTTTAAAGGTTTGAAATTTTTCATTGTAAAAGTTATAACAAATTGTCACTTTTAACACTCAACTCATAATTAAAATAATATTCTATAAAAGTGGGCTAATTTAAAGAAAATCTCCACCTGATTCTGAAATAAACAACTAGTTATGTGTATATTACATATATATTAAATAAAATGTTCTTATGACATTATACAAAATTGATTAGCATGAGATAGAAATCTACTTGAAAATTTAAATACAAAGACAATTCTATACCAGAAATCCATTCTTGATATAAAAAAATAGAAAAAATGTACTACTTTTCAGATCACAATACGAGATATGCAAATGTTCTTTGAACATTGATTCTTCATTGTACATCTCAAAAGAAAAATAGCACTCACACAGACATAAAATATGGAAAACAATTTCTATTTCATTATGTCTTTTTTGTGATTATGCCTATAGAAACATTGACAGTGATTACAAACAAACATGACTTAATCATGAAATGACAAATTATAGCATGTTAGACATCTACAAAAAATATTAACATTTTTGTCATCATTAATTTGGTAATTAAAAGCTAATAATTTATCACATGAAAAAAATATGACCCTATGAGTATTTTCTGTCTTAGTTCCCATCTCATAGGAAATAGATTCACTAGAACCTCTGTTTATCTGGGGTTTATTATTATAACTCCTCAAAATTTATATTATAGAGTCATATATATGAAAACAAATTTGTTAGTCTCTCTCCCCACCTGATTGGGATACATGTGTGTTAATTACATGTGAATCAGATCCATGAACCAACTGCATATTGTAGTTGAAACTCAGATGGTTAGATTTTAGTGTGAGCAAGGACCAAGAGTATAGACATCAACAAAAGGTATGAGCAGGTATTAAAATTTACAAAACCTAAAAAGTGATAACGAAAATATATAATGAAGTCCATCTAATCAAATATGCACGTGAAGACTTAATTATGCTTTAGTTGCTTTATTGAATGTCATCTTAGACTATTTCCAAGAGAACATAATGAAAATATTTAAGACCATATGTGTGTCATTTTCTGATACATATTTATGGTTAGGCAGAAAGAAGTTCAAGAGCTCTATTCCACAGAATGGCCACTATAGTTAATAATAATATATTATTGAAAAGTGCCAAAAGAGTGAATAAGTGTTCTCACTACAAAAATAATAAATACGTGAGGTAATATATTTGCTAATTAGACATATCTAACCATTTCACAATGTAGATATACATCAAAATATGTTCTATATTATACATACTTACAATTTTATGTTAACTTAAAAAATACATTTGAAAAAATTTGTTTGCATAATAGTTTCTGCCAGTCAAAACATACTTTGAATTAATTAGGCATCTATGTGTCAGACAAAACTGATTCAGAGAGAGGGTGGATAACTTTCTACAGTTCTCACCTAAGATTCCAGCAGGATATTCTCAAATATTCAGTTTTATGATTTTGGCACTGCTCTATTACCTTCTTGTCAATCTCTGGCTATATCCTAATATTTATTTGATAGGCTCCTTAGAGAGTTCCCTTAATGGTCTTCCTAACTCTACGTCTACCCTGCTCTTCCATAAAGGCTCAGAACTATCAAGATAATCTATTTTTAAAATATCAATTACTAATAGCATTTTCTCCTTTAGGAAACAATCAAACCCAAATCTATTATTTTTTCCATCATGACTTCTCTGATCTAGTCCTCTCCCACTTCCCCACTGCTTCTCTCTCTCTCTCTCTCTCTCTCTTCTCTCTCTCTCTCTCTCCCCCCTCCCCGCCCCCCACCCCGCCCACACTCCCTTTACTGGTGGGACTTCCATTAATATTTTTCCATTGTTCCTTCTTGCTCTGGTACCCTGCTGAGTTCTTCTTTCACATCATCTCAACTGTATCCCCTATCTCAGATGTGGCTCAAGTTTTAACTTAGTTAGGAAGCCCTTTCCAAATGACCAGGCACAAATTTTGTTTTCACAACTTGATTTTGTTATATCCTTTCAGTATTTTCTACTGTATCCTGTTTTTCTATCTGGCCTGTAGGCCTCTATGTATCCCTCTCACTGAATTGTGAATAGCAGAGATCAGGTTCTCAAGGCACTGCTTGTACACACATGGGCTCCTTAAATGTTGACTGAATTAACAATAGTGGCACAGGACCCTAATATTTTGATTCCTATTTAACAGTGTTTCTAATTCATTTGCTTAAAAAAAACTTTAGTTTTAGAAGCCTAGTGAACATATACTGCATAGAAGTTACCTAATTAAATTAGACAAAACTTTAACATGCCGGGCGCAGTGACTCAAGCCTGCAATCCCAGCACTTTGGGAGGCCAAGGCGGGTGGATCTCAAGGTCAAGAGATCGAGACCATCCTGGCCAACATAGTGAAACCCCGTCTCTACTAAAAATACAAAACATTAGCTGGGCATAGTGGCGCATGCCTGTAATCACAGCTACTCAGGAGGCTGAGGCAGGAGAATTGCCTGAACCCAGGAGGCGGAGGTTGTGGTGAGCCGAGATTGCGCCATTGCACTCCAGCCCGGGTAACGCGTAAAACTCCGTCTCAAAAAAAAAAAAAAAAAAAAAAAAAAAAAAAAAAAAAAAAGAACAAAAAACTTTAACATTTGTTTAATAACATTAAATTAATAAAAATATTAATTGATCGGCACTTGTAATGGGTGATGATTAAATGTGACTTGTGAATTCCCCATTAACTACAGAATCACTGGCATGCATTATGTGTTAAATTATGCAGTTCTGCAATTCATGAATTATATTTAATCCTCTATACTAAAGGATTTATGTGGCACTTCACAGCCAGGATATGGAAACAGTGTTTCTTGTTGCTTAATACCTACTCTTAGATGTACTTATTAAGAACATGATGATAATGATGATGAAGATGGTGATGATGACAACACTGTAGAAATGGAAACTGACTCCAACAGAGGGAGGAATACATAGTCTTGAGGTAACTTAGTCTTGGCTCTCTGTTGAAACATTTAACAGAAGGATTAATTAGATGACATAACACGGTCAAAACTTGATCCCGTTGACACTTAAAACTGTTATAGGATGTGAATAACACTGAATTGTTTGAAATAAGGCTTCATTCAAAACCAATAAATTTCCCACGTCTTCAAAAATGTATGACACCTTCTTCTTGGCAATCTCAATTTTCAGACATTTTGGTTACATGAGTTTCAAAAAAGAATAGAGTATAAATATTAATTAATAATTTGCCTATACTAAGGGAATAGTGTAAGTAACTAACACTCTTAAGAGAAATCTTACGTATGTACATACATGTCCAACTATGAAATGACTCAGTATTATTTCTATTAAGTTAAGAGGTAAACTCTGTATTTAGTACCCCATACTTACTTTAGACTGCAAATAAGAACATTTAAAACTATTTTAAGCAATTATATATATTGAATTTATATTGCTGAGTAATATAAAATGTACACTGAAAAAAAGGCCCATTCTAATCAATGGCCAAAATAGTATTGTTTCTTATAATTTCTTATAATTTCAATTTGTCTTAAATAAATTATATTTACAAATTTTACAACTATCTCAAAATTGTAAACATGTAAACCACCATTGTCATTATAGTCTTTCTTTATTCTACAAAGGCATCAGTAGCTAAAAATTTAATCAAGCAATCTTTCATGTGTCAATCAATGGTCTTGATTACATAACAACAAAATACAAATTTTATTAATTTTCTCTTTGAATAAGGTTAATTTTGCCAGCTCTTTTGTTATCTATCAATGTAAGTTTACCCGAAAAATAGGTTTATTTAGGTTATTGATAAAGTCATTGTGAGACAATAGGTTCTCTTCTTATTTATATAATTATTCTAACCCATTATAAAACTTGATAATCTTTAGATTTGGGCAAGATTTTAGAATTAAGGTGGCAAATTAAGCAAATGTAATCACATCATAAAGTACTGTTCATTTATGGTACTAGAGCAAATATATATTATTTTCTTTCTCTTTAGAGGTTTACAAGGCAAGTTCCGTAACTTATATAAATTTCTAAAGCTGAAACTGTACAGTGTTTCGTGAAATATAATTGCTTCCCTGTGCTGTGCATTGCCCCAAACTTACCATGTTTAACTTTTAAATAAAATTCTAACTTACTATCATTCAATAGAGACAAACTCTCTTTTATACATTATGTAATCATTCAAATTTATTTTAAATCTTCTTATTGGACTGTGAAAAAAGTCTAAAAACTCAAGTGCACTGAAAAGTCATTTTTCTGTTTATACTTAAAAAGAAAGAATGAAATAGATGAAAGAGAGAGAAAGAAAGAAGAATGTGAAAGAAAGAAAAAGAGAAAGAAAAGAAAAAAGAAATAAAGAGAAAGAAAGAAAGGAAAGAAAGAAAAAGAAAGAAAAAGAAAGAAAGAGAAAGAAATAGAGGAAGGAAGGAAGGAGAAGAAGGAGAAGGAGGCAAGAGGAGAGAAGAGGAGAGGGAAAGCTGGAGGGGAAGAAGAGAGAGAAAAAGAACTATGTTGCTTTTAAAATCACTCCTTAGGGGTGGAAATCCATGCACTGTGTCAATAAATAAGGTAAGTTCCTTAGGGTGAAAACAGCAATAAAAATGTTTCTCCACATTTATATAACAGACTACAAAAAGAAAAAAGAAAGGCACAAGGATACTAACCATTATTAAAAACCTCTTTTAGTAAGTTTCAAAAGATTACTAAACAGTGTCTGGATGGTATGGTGGCACTAACCAAATAGAAGATTCCTGAAAATGAAAATTTAAATCTTTGAGCTGTTAGCATGTATAATTGCATTTAAATTAGTAAAACTCTTTATAAAATTCATTATATTTAATGAGGCACTTTATATTTACACAACTCTAATT